CGCTTACAGTAGGGGCCCAGAAGTTGGAAATCTAATGGCCTCAATCTTGAAGAGTAATGCATAGCTAATCCCAGCACTATTTGGCCTTGATTCGGTTTCTAACTTCATGGGGTTTACTGTAGGGGTTCCTGTAGTAAAGGGGTCTATAAGGGTTCTATAAGGGTTCTATAAGGGTTCTACAAGGGTTCTATAAGGGTTCTATAAAGGTTCTACTAGGGTTCTATAAGGTTTCTATAAGCGTTCTATGATTTATACGGACCTCATATAAGGGTGTACCGGTCGCTCTCGGTGCTCTCGATCGGTCTGTCAACCAGAATTTACACGGATCCATGTTCCGATTCCTAAGCCGGTGTCTCCTTGCTCATTTTTGGTTAGTAGGGAATGGAGGTATGGGGTACAATTATAACTACCATTACTACCATTCTTCCATTCCCTACTAACCAAAGGTAGGGGTTCATGCCAGACGGTGTCACTCCATTTGCCTTACGCAGTTTGTGTCAGAACTCCCTAGACCCGAAACCCTAAACCTAGACCCTTAACCCTTTACCCTAAGGGTTTCGAACTTCGAAGACATCAGGACCGAACTTTGGAAACGTCTGAAAGTCTCGTTTTTGGGGTTTCGGATCAACTCCATGGTGCTTAGTAGGGAATGGGGGAATGGATCCCTCTACTAGTCCCTATATAATCCCCAATAATAGTATTCGTAGTCCATTCCCCCATTCCCTACTAAGAACCAGACAGTCAAGGGCTTTCTGAAACGTCTTAAACCCTAAACTTCAAACCCTCAACCCTAAATCATAAACTTCAAACCCCCTAAACCCTAATCTTCAAACCCGAAGCCCGAAACCCTAAACTTCAAACCCTAAACCCCCAAACCCTAGGAGTTGGCAGACAAAGAGGATGTGATGAAGGAGCTTGGGAGCCCGGCTATGCGAGAGCGAACTTCCGGTTGCGGCTGTGTAGAGTCCGCTATTAGGGTTTAGGGTGGAGAGTTTAGGGTTTAGGGTTCAGGGTTTAGAGTTCAGGGTTTAGGGTTTATGGTTTAGGGTGTAGAGTTTAGGGTTTCAGGGTTTAGGGAAGAATGAGTTTAGGGATTTGGGTTCAGGGTTTGGGTTGTAGAGTTTAGGGTTTGATGATTGAGAGGGGTTATGTGGGTTTACATGGGCTTAGCGTCTGGGAATGCGGCATCGGCTGGCCTTGATGTGTAAATTTCAGTCAGGATAGAGCCACAGCGGACAGAAGCTGGCGAAGCCGCATCCATAACAGTTCGGCATCCCTGTATTTCTAGAAGCCTCGTGAAGCTCATAATTCCCTACACACCACCTTGAAGGCATAATCTAGTGTTTCTGGGGTCTTAGTACAAATGCAGTTTGGAGACTGCAGCAAGGTAGGCTCTTGCAGCAGGAGGTACACCCTCAACCCTAGTCGCTGGTGGCCGGCCTCTGTGAACCAACTTTTGTGAAAAGAAGCTCATAAACGCCGTATGAAATCTCACAACACCTGCTTATGCACAGCCTGCAGAGGCCCCTGCCCTATGTTATGGCCCTAGAGGAACCGTCAGCCATGCTACAAAACAATGACCGCTTAAAAGCCAGACTGCACCCAGGCTTTGTACCAAAGTCGCCGTCGACAGCAGCGCCATTGCCTGGTCCGAAGATGTCGCGGTCAGGGTTCGGGGTCTAGGTTTCAGTAATACGAAACCCCAAACCCCGAAACCATGACACCTCGAAACCCGAAACCATGCAAAACCCTAAACCCCGAAACCCTAAACCCTATATAAACTCTAAACCCTAAACCCAAAAACCCTAAATCCTGAAACAACCCTAAACCCTAAACGCTAAACCCTGGCATGTCCGTTGAGAGGGTCCGGAATCTCCTATTCCGAGCACTTGGGCTCTTTGGAGGTCTTAGAGGCCCCAGGGTTCTAGTTGCGAGGGTCCCGGAAGTATCAGGGCCCTCTGGGCTTTACAGGGGTTTGGGGCTTGGGAGCCATGGAGAAATTAGTGCTTCAGGGCTTCTAGGGTTTTTGGGGTTTCGGGGGCTTGGGAAGCTGGTGTTTCTTTCTGTCTATTGTTTGGGTGTTTGTAATAAGGGTTCTACGATGGCCCTGAAGTGTCGGGGGACTTAGTAAGTAGATAGTTTAGAGACCTATAAGTACCACAACCCCAAACAGGGTCCCTTTTAAGGCACTTATAAGTCTACTTATAACCTACTTACTAAGTCCCCCGACCCTCCAAGTAGGCTTAGGGGGATTTGCAGATGCAGCTATTTCGGAGCGAAGTCCTGGCCTTGAAGGTTTGGGAGTTTGGGTGTGGGGTGTCGTTTAGGGTTTAGGGTTTAGGGTTCAAGGGTTTAAGTGTTTAGGGTTTAGGGTTTAGGGTTTAGGTTTAGGGTTTAGAGTTTAGGGGTTTAGGGTTTAGGGTTCAGGGGTTTTGGAGTTTAGGGTTTAGGGTTCACCCCGATGCCTCAATTCCAGCAAGTGTGTTCCGACAAAGCTACAGCTCTGAACAGACAGGAAGCCGAAGCTACTCATATTTCAGCCGAAGGCCTAAACCCTGAACCCTGGCTTCAAGACTCGCGCCGAAAAAATCTGAGCCCTAAAGCCGAAACCCTACACCCTTGACGATATTTCCAAGGAGGTGGCAAACCATCTCCTGCAGAGTGGCAGGCATGACATTTTGGGTCAACAGAGGGGCCTAAGTAAACAATACTATTTCGGGGGTTCCTAGTTATATAACTACAGCAAAGATATACCCCAAGCCTTATTCTAATGATTAAGGCCTCTATATTAGACTTGTCAGCCTCAGCAGCCGGCCACGGAGGAACACTCGTCGCGAGGGAACGTGTGGTCCAGTAGTGAAGGAGATAGTACGGTTTAGGGTTTAGACTTCGGGGTTCAGGGTATATGATGGTGCAATATAGGATTGAGTCCAGTTATGATGTGGGATCATTCAGGGTTTCCTCGTGCGCGTGAAGGGTTTCAGGTTTGGTGGAACAGTGGTTTCTTCAGAACACTGTGGAGAGGATTCTTGTGGAGCCGACTGGTGGAAACCCTCAACGACTGTTCCTTAGGATTCTATTCATGTCTGTTTAATCAGTTTAAAAATAGCAACTATTTATACAATGAATCCGCTATGCCCAAACCCCACTGATTTCTGGCGCCATGTATGTCAGGGGCATCAACACCCTCAATCCGGAAAAGCCTTTTTGAAGCATCAGAGAATCTGGAATTCTAGAACCCAGAAAGAACCCTTCACTAAACCCCTAAGCCCTCAACCCCAAAACTTTAAACTGAACCCTAAACCCCTAAAGCCGTAAACCCCTACATCCCCAGCTCCTAAGCCACTAAACCCTCAACCCGAAAAGGGCCATCGACCTCACTTTCGGCGCTTTGCCTTCGAAGGGCGACCTTGCAATGTGCTTCCCGCTCTTCCGCTCTTGTGTGGTTTTGTTTCGGTGGTTCGGGCCCTGTTTTTGTTATGTTCTGTTCTGTCGAATGGCGGAAGAAAAAAATTGGGGCTCATAGGGTTTAGAGCGGTTGGGCTTTGGGGCTATTGAAGGAGGCAGTTCAGGGCTTCGCATTTTGGGGTTTGGGTAGTTTGGGGCATAGGTTTCGGATGTTAGGGTTTCCGGCGTTTTGGGTAACATCGGCTGGATCAACCCCCTCTGTCTACAGATGTATGTGTGTGTATATATATATATATATACATATTATATTATCATATATAGATATATACACACGTACATATGACATACGCAAAAAATGACACATATTGTTTCGCTCATTCTCCAATCGGCTGCATTTGAGGTGAGGAGGTGAGGGCACCTGTCACTACTGACAAGGGCGGACTAAGGGGCTGCATATTTCGGATCTGTTATAGCTTAGAAAGGGCCCCCACCCTGTAATAGTGGTATAATAGGAATATAATAGGGCCCTAATATAATCCTTATAGTCACTATTACAGGGTGGGGCAGCTTCTAAGTTACAGCCTGTTTCACTATATTGTAGCCACAACCTTTTGTCTTCTATCGTACTTATAGGCAAAAAAGCCATAATACATATAATATGTCCACTGTAGTGCGCTACTCAGTCTATTTACTTGCGAAGCTTGGCCTTGCCGAGTTTCGGTGGGTAAGGTTTCTTGTCTTGCACCTGCCCTCTTTTTACCTTTGGTTAGTAGGGAATGGAGGAATGGGATACGGTTATGACTACTATGACTACCATTCTTCCATTCCCTACTAACCAAAGGAAAGTCTTAAAGCCTCAGTTCCAGACCCCAGACCTTGCAGTGTTAGGCTGTAGGATAACCCCACACTCTGCACCGGTGTGGGCCTGTAGATCCTGCGAAGCGCGATGATTTTCTTACAGTGGGTTTCAAAAGAAAATACGAGACCAGAAGGGTTCTGAGTCAGGAATGCCACACTATCAGATGACGCTGATCAAAAAGCTTTCATGCCGAGAAAGGGACGTGTACGGGATTCAGAAATCGCTTAGGGCTTATAGGGCTTCTATTCTAATTGAGATTCTAACGGAGAAAATTCGAGTGCTGTGAGGGCTGCGACGTTCTGTAATAGTCTATGACCATTATCCCTAAGCCGAAGCCCCAACAGAACCTCGCAAAGCAGCCCTTAACCCTATACTCCAGGGTTGGGGGCTTAGGTGTACGGTCTTGCTCTTGGACCTTGGAGCCTTTTCCTGTGCATTCCGCATCGAAAGCTTCTGGACACATGGATCTGGACCCAGAGCCCCCCCCAAAGCCCCGAAACCCCTCCCGCAGCCCCCCCCTAGCCAAAACCCCCACTTTAGCCCAAGATATCCACTTCTAAGATCGGGCTGCCTATAGCTCATCCTCAGCGGAAGCGGAAGCCAGCGCTTTCAGCCCCGATCGGGTATGACCCTGTGAATGCTTAAGGTCACGCCGAATTCAGCCCAAATCAGCCCACACAGCATACTCCTCGCCCTGGACCTGGGCCTGAGAGCGCAATGCGCTCGTTCGGACATGGCTTCTTACTGTCGCCTCACGCGCAGGGGCCCAAGCAAGTCTAGCCTAGCATTCCCACCATAAGCGGGGCCCTAAATTCATCTCAATGAGCCTTCACATTGAATGCTTGGAGTTGAACCCTGGGTGGTGGTATGTTGCGATGTAGCTTCCGGGATTCCATGTGTACACGCGCCTCCCGGATTTTGCTTGCAGCTGTCTCTACTTCAGCTTCTGCGCTTTGCACCTAGGGAAACTTACATTTTCCAATGGGTGGGGTATTTTGGGTTTGCTAATGGAAGCTTGAACGCGGACTCGGCGTTGATTTCAGAGCACAAAGATCTGAGCCTTGAAACCAGTCAGGATCTGGGGTTTGACTGCCCGACGGATTTGGGCTGTGCACCCGAGCCAAACTTGGAAGCAAACCCCAAACACCCCTTACCCACGCCCTGTTCCTATGTGGCCCGTTTTGACCTATGGTGAAGCCAAGGAAGCCAAGACTAGGAACTACAAATGAGACGCTTGTCTATGCAACCCTGCACCTCGTCGCCCTCAGCCGAAACCCCGTCACATCAACGGACCTTCGCCTCAGGCTCCAAATCAAAGCCCCGGGACCCTTTTGCCCAAATCCAGGCCCCTGTACCCCTATAGTATAGTACCCTTATCGATCCCTTACAGATCCCCTTAAAGGACCCCTTTATCGAACCCTCAGCCCGAAGCCCTCTGGGTCTGCGTTGGGTTCTGATCTTGGTCCGCAGGCCTTCTTGGAGGATCATGGGACTTAGTAATTAGGGCTATAAGTACCTTAAATGGGGTTATAAGTAATTATAAGTATAGTTACCTTAACTATAACCCTAGTGACTAAGTCCCATGATCCCTTAAGTTGAGCTATGGGGCTTCCCCTTCGGACGCAGGGTCTTTATCTTAGGGGTTTACAGTAGAGTTTAGGGTATGGGGTTTAAGGGTTTGGGGCTCAGGGGTTTAGGGTTTAGGTGTTTAGGTTTTGGGGTTTAGGTGTTAGAGGTTTAGGGTTTAGGGGTGCAGAGGTTTAGAGTTGAGGGGTTTAGGGTTTAGGGAAGACTTGCATCCGTTCACTCTACAGAAGAACTGCTGATGGGCAAAATCCTGCATGACCCTGAGGACTCGAAGCTATGGGAACTATGGTATCTTCCTTATAAGGGGTAATGCAGGATTTTGTCCATCAGCAGAATCACCACTGGGCTTCCTCAGCACCTGACCTCAGCCTTCCTATCGAGACTTCAGCAGCCCTAAACCTTAACCCCCCAAAGCCCGAAATTAAGGATCTCATTAACCCCTAAAGCCCTAAATTCAAGCTCTAAATAAAGCCTTAAAGCCCTAAATTAAGGATCTAATCAAACCCTAAAGCCCTAAATTAAAGATCTAAAGCCAAAGTCCTAAATCCTGAAGCTCCAGAGGTGATCGGAGTTCGCCCCGGACCAGCGGGGTGGACTCGACGGCTCCGGAGGCTTCTTGAGGGCTCTGGGAGTTTTGGGTTTCGGGATTCATGTTCACGGTTTGAGATTTAAGGTTTAGGGTTTAGGTTTTAAGGAGTGAGGGTTTAGGGTTAGGGTTTAGGGCTTAGGGCTTTGGGTTTTGCGGATTTTGGTGCTTGCGGTGTAAGGTTGAAAGGGCTTTCGGGTTGACCGGTTTTCAGGCTTAGGGTTGAGGGCTAGAGGGTTACAGGGTTTAGGGTTGCAGGGTTTCAGGCTTCAGGGTTTAAGTAGGCAGGTTAAGTTGTGGAGTTTTAGGTCAGAACTAACTCCAAACCCAAGGACGTTTGTTCCGAGGTGGCGGACAGACGGCCGGTCCTGCCGAGAAGACGAGGCAGGGGCCTTCCGGCCGCAGAAGTCTAACATGGGTTGATTGTAAGATGAGTACAATGAGGGACGTTTGTGCTTGTTCATTCTGAGGGTGATAAGTACTGTGCTTAGGGATACCGTTCCGTTCCTTTGACCTATTTGCTATGTCTTCTGATGTGGAGGTCGGACAGGCCAAGATGCATAGAGATATAAGTCATCGTGACAAGCAGCCTAACAACCTGAAGCCATGATTCCCAAAGCCGCGATCCTGAAACCCTAGCCCTATGCCGCACAACTCAAAATCCTCAGATTGAAGAGCCTGACGCTCCAAAGCCCTGCACCCTGTAAACCTAACCTTACGCCTTTGAGCCGTAAAACCCAAAAGCCGAACCCAAAATCCCAAGGCTCTACAGATGCCCTCAAGCCCAAGAGCCTTTTCCAAAGCCGTTGCGCTACACAGCACCTCTGGACCCCGAGACCCACAAGAACCCTCACAACCCCTGACAGATTTCCCGAAACGGCTAGACCCTGAACAGCTTTTGTGTTTGATTCTTCCAAGGACCCCCTCTTCGAGCCTCACTGCTTTCTCTGCTGCTGGCTGCGGCGCTGCGGCCAGCGAAGGGGGACCTCGACTTCAAGGCCACGTACACATACATGTACGTAAGTATGTGTGTGTATATATATATATACACGTGTGTATATGGGCATGCTAGATAGGCAGATAGGTTGATGGATAGATGGATAGCTAGACAGATGCATTCACACATACCTACATACATAACTTACATACATAGATAGGTTCATACCTAGATCGAAGTCTTAGGTAGTTAGCAATACTATTCTAACGAGTTCCTTTTTATCCATGTAGTAGAATAAACCATAACCCCCCGACGCACTTTCTTTATAGGGCTTCATAGGTGCTGTGCACGGCTTAAGGGAAATATGATGGATTTGGGAACTCGTTAAGTCAGTTATAGATGCGCCTGGGGTCAGAAGTGTATCCCAGCTGAGATGATGACTTGCTAGTAGCGCTTCTTACTTGTTTCGTTCATCGGTTTTTTCAAAGCAGGCGGTGCTTCGGCCTTGACATATTGTCGGTCTTCGGGTGTTCTTTTTTTAGAGTTTTTTGTTTTGCCCGTCGAAATTTTTATAACAAGTTTGCGGTTGACTCTTTAGCCTGGAAGTGGTTGTGGGAAGGTCGATGTCAGGGGGTGTATGTATCGGCCTTACGGTGTGCCGCTTATCCTCAATCGATTGCAAGGAAAGACTGAGTTTTGCTCATGTAAGAACCTGATTAAGAAACCCTGGCCCTATAACACCCAAAACATTAGGGTTCATATAAGGAACCCTTAAAAAGGCCCAAGGTTTCACACCAGCACAAAACCCCATGGCAAGCTATTCAGTCCGACAGCTGCACAACTTCTCCCCGACCAAGCCCTATGTACTCAGAGGGCCCAGGGAGTTGGCAAAGTAGAAGAACCCCAGGAAGCACAAGCCAAGCCGATTCCCCCCCAGTCCCCCACACTGCTACAACAAGAACCCTCGATGATGTGATGAATCAGGGTGCTTTTGGCCCCTGCGGTTTAGGCTTTCGGTGCCGGGCTTTCGTTGATATGGGTGCTTCAAGTATCAGAACCGTCCCTGTGAGGTAGGGTTTAGTAGCAGTTGGTGAGTGGGCAGAGGGCTCCGTTGGAAATTTGGTGTGTCCTTCTGATTGTACTTGTAGCACCAAGCCTTTGTTAGACTTTGGCATGCCTGCAACACCCTCTTCGAAATATTTTGGCAAGCGCTTCGGTTCGTGGCGTTTGCTCCTGGCAGGCCTTCACCCGCGACCCGCAGGGTTACGCCTCACACATCCGTGTCTTGGACCGGAGTTGCAGGGACTCTGCTGATTCAACGCTTGTGCCAAAGGCCGTGTGTCGTTTGTTAGGTTCGTTTCCCACTGTGACTACAGCAACGTAACGTACTGTAGTGTACTACTATAGTATACTAAACTACAATAGACTGCTTCGAAAACCATGGTATACTATAATATAGCGACGGCAACTCAAGGGAAGATGCTGCCAATTTGGAATGCCATGCACAGCCCCATCCAGACTTTACAAGGCAATGGCAAAGACCCTGCCAAAAACCTGAAGAAGGGACAAGAGCTCGAGATGGAAAAAAATCCTTCATTTTTTCGTTCCAAAAATATAATTTGAGCAGGCCGGAGGTTCGTTGTGCTAGGTTTTCGAGACGCCACGGCCGCTTTCTCGTGGAAGTTGGGGTTAGGGCTGCAGATGCAGCTACCCTTCCGATCGTAGTTGCACGTTTTGACTGCCCTGGTGTACTTATTCGATGATCCCAGCCATAGGGGAGGTTAGCCACAAACAGGCGGAGTGCAGGGCAGGTAAGGTTCAGGGTGCAGGGTTTAGCGTTTACTGTCCAGCGGAAGACAATCGGTTGCGAAATCAAAGGTCTGGTGGACGGATCGCAGATCGAGTACTTCTCAGATGAGTTCAACGAGCTCTGCACGCAGGCGCGTCATGCAGGAGTTTCAAAGTAAACTCCAAGCCTCTACTGTACTCTTCAGTCCTACACCCGATGCCTGTTCCCCCAATCCCCGAAACTGCCTAAACTCTACTCTTCAAGCCCTTCTCCAAAATACTCAGTCCCGAAACCCCTGAGCCCTCAAGCCCTGATAAGAACACACTGAAACAGCACCACGCACAGACTCTGAGACGAACTTTTGTAATTGATCCATATAGTCCTAATATGACTGTGTATTGTACTCCCTAAACTCGTCTCGTAACGTACTAAACGCTGCATGTTTCTAGCTTCCGATCATAGTACTATATTGTATCTTAGAAAGGCTCTAGCAACAGGTTCCGTGAAATAAAGCGATATGAAAGCCGTAAACGCAACGCACCGAACTGAGATCAGAGTCTTGCGCACTTCGGGTTGAGTGCTGGGCAGTATTGAAGTGATACAGTTTGGGGCTTGGGGCTTGGGGCTTTTGGTTTTTTTTTGGGTTTGTGGATTTTCAATTAATTTAGTCCTTGGGGCTTCAGGGATGAGGAGGGGTTACGTAATGGATCCTTTCGGTTCAGGCCAACCGGAGCATCAGTGACAACCTCCAAAGGATTGTTGTCTCTTGGAAATCACCCAACCCACGTCACATTTAGAACGCGTGGCAACCTGCAATAGATTTGTAGGTATTGTAGGTACGAAGAGAGTGGGATCCACGAAGATGGAAACACCGGAAGGAAGGAAAGCGCTGGCTTGAGAAGAATCTGTCCCCTGTCCGCAGCCCATCGGTGGCGCGCCAGCGATCTCGCCTACCAGCCCGTTCCTGGCACTCGAAGGGATCGTTCAGGGACGTGGTGGGCCGTGGGGCTCAGGTAGTTTGGGTTTAGGGTTTAGGGGTTTAAGGTGCACGGTTAGTGGATCCTTGTTGAATGTGCTTCAGTTTCGCAGGCAGTTGAGAATTCTGCTTCAGGGTTCTTGTGTTATGCTGAGTCGAGAGCTCAACCCTGCGAACCCGCTAACGCCTCACTAAGAAGTGTTCCCCTACGTGGAGGTTCATGGGACTTAGTAGGTACAGTTGTAAGTACCTTAATTTGGGTTACATGTGATTATAAGTAACCCTTACCGTAATTATAGCCGTAGTTACTAGTCCTATGATCCTTTAAGTAAGTGCTCTGTTGGCTCAAAGCGGGGCCCAGAGGCGTCCAAAAGCCATCCCAGATCAGGCTTTGGGGCTGTCTCGGCCTTGTCCTTTTTAACCTTTTCATTTTTCCCCCAAAAGAATAAACAGACCGGCTAGTAGACCTTCTTAAATAATTACTACTAATAAGGGATATAGGTATAGGGCTCTGTCTATTACTTCTAAAAGGACAAGGGTTGTTGGGGCTAGAGAAGCTTTGCTGGGATTTCGGATTTCGCCTGCGAGAGTTCTTGGAGGGTCGGCGGACTTAGTAAGTAGGTAGTAAGTAGACTTATAAGGACCCCAAAAGGGACCCTAATTATTAATTGGGGTTATGATACTTGTAAGTCTCTAAAATAGCCACTTGGTGAGTCCCCCGACCCTCCGAGTAGCGAGTAGAGAGAGCAGGCAAAGAGGTTGGTTCTAATTGGCACACGGCAACGCAAGGCATCAACCTAATATCTAGAAGCCTGAAGTGACAAACGACTCCTCAAACCTCAGCACCCTGCAAGTCTTGAGAGTCAGAATGGCATGGACCCGGAAACTATATAGGCTAAGCAAGACTCGTTGGCCCTGAAGCATCACTTCTAAGTCTGAAGCTTCGGGTTTCCCTGGCGGAACACATGGCATCCTCCACACGTTCTTCGTCGTCTTTCCGCTCCCACGCGACACTTCCTGAAGCGGACCTTTCGAGATCCGTTGCCATTGCTGCTGTTGGGACCCTGGGCGCGGTCAGTATGTTCTACGTTTCGGCGTCACAAGGCCATGCAGGATATCGCAGGATTCCCTGAAACATTGGGTACAGGATCAGATCCCCATCCAGTCGCAAGTCCCACTCTTCGTCTTCAAGCTTCTCCTGAACCCCACTTAAGGGTTGTGGGACTTAGTAACTAGGGTTGTAACTCAAGTAAGTAGATGTTTTATTTGCTTATAACCCCAAGGCAGGTACTCACAACCTTACTTACTAAGTCCCATGATCCTCCAAGCAGGACTTGAGTATGATGGCAGCATCCATTCTCCACTTTTCAGCTTTTGATCTGCTCGACATAATAGGACGAAACCACCAGAAGCCAAGACCCCTAATGTAGGGGGCCTTAATTAATAATTACCTACACCATGTTGGGGGTTTCGTATCATACTTACAGTATCATGGCTCCCAAAACCCTATCCTAATTTTTATAAAGGCCCCTACATTGACATGCTCAGGATTGAGGTGTTCCACTGCTTCAATGCCTTATGGGTCAAGAACCGTTGGGCCAACTGGGAGCTGCACTCGGAGATTGATTCCTGCAGCTCGCTAAAAAACCCTCCTCTGGTTGCACTGTTGTGCTAGTTGTAGTTTAGCAGCTTTTTTGTGCTTCTTCTGATCTCTACGTTGTCTGCTTTTGGAACGGTCTAGTATCTGGCAGATGGGTTTAGAGGAAACCGTTTGCAACCAGCGCTGCAGCAGAAGCCAGGTATTCTCCACACCCTGGCTGGTGCAAACATCGCCCGGTATTTCCGCCAATTTTCGTGGTTCGACTTTGCTATCTTCGCCGTGATGCGATGCGCAGTGGAGCATCTTTCGGAGGATCTTGGTGGTCTTATCGAGGTCAAAGCCATCACTGAAGGGCAGCGCGAGGGGAACCTAGGGGACTGCTTGCGCCTCGGTCTAGTCTATGGTTTCTGGTACGCCGCCTCGATCTGCGTGCTTGGGCGCAGCAAGCTGGTTCACCCAGTCTTCCTTGCCGTGTTGCTTGTGGGCTACCCATTGACTTTGGTCCAATCCTACAATTATTTGCTGGGTAAAAGCAGTACTTCGTTCTGGCTGGCGCATGCAGCGAACTTGATCTCTACAAACCCACCCGTCATCGCTGCGGGCATGCGGTTCCTCGGTTTGTTGGCTGCCTAGCGCGGCACCGTGTGCCACGTATGTGCTTACTGCGTCAGCTTGGCGAGTCAGCGTCGGATCGCGGAGACCGAGGCAAGCGCACTGAGATGCTGAGGATGGTACACCAGACGATCAATCCGGCCTTTTTGATTTGAGCAGCTCCCAGAGTCCGCGCATTTTGCTCTGCCAGCCATCCGCCTTCTGGCCGCCGTCTTCTTGGGCGCCGCCTTCGTGACCTCCGGTCTCCGGTGCCGGGCCTACCCGCTCTCCTCAGGTGAGCATGCACGCGGCAGCTACCCAATCCATGTCATGTCTGGTGTCCCTCCACATCGGTGCAATCGTTGGCCTGCTGCTGGCCGCGGCTCGGCCTTGGCCTAGGCAGCCAGGGCTACGAGCAAATGGGATGCGACTCGATGCGAGGCGCTACGAGAAGCTTGAGGGCAGACGAGAAGAGGTCATACAAGGGCAAGGTGGACCTGGACTACAGGAGCAAGGGCTACAAGATGGAAGAGTACAGGACCCAGAAAGAGCTGCAGTCTAAGCTCAGGGGTGGCAAGTGAGGAGGAGGTTTTTGTTGCAAAGCAATGCAGAGGCCGCGAGATAGGGAAATAGTCATTACAGTACCAGCACTATCCTCGGGTTCCATTTTTTTTATAATATTATAGCGGATTATACCCCCTAAACTGCAAACCCTATTCTAGTTGTTGCAGCGCCTGTTCCTATTGCTTTCAGATTGGCCATCTCGATTCCAAGCCTCTGACACTGCAAGGCTTGCGAGTCCTTCTTGCGAGGGGCTGTTCAAAATTTCGGTCTACCAACTACCAAGGTGATTTCCAGCAGCATACAGGCGTTTCCTAAAATGGGGGGTACCTTATTTGGGGGTCCTTATAATAAGCATCCTACTATTTAGGGTACTATACTGGGGTCCCCTATTTTCGGAAACTCCCCAAACCCTAAACCCTACACCCTTTATGGAACCCTTATAGATCCCTTTAAGGAACCCTTTTTAGGAGCCCCTATTAGGGTCCCCCCATTTTCGGAAGCTCCCATATGAGTGTGATTAAGAGAAACCGCCAGATGCACCATGATCTCAATCAGCCTCAAGCAAGAGACTCCAAAGCACCCCTTACTGTACCTTAACCTACTAAAACCTACAAAAAAGTAGGGTCCCTATAAATTCCATATTATGGTTTATAATAAGAACCTACAAAAAAGTAGGGTTTGGTGGGTTAAGGTAATTATATATATAACCCCTACTCGGATACCCAGAATAAGGAATATGCCATAATTCCCATAGTTTAATGTCCTTAGGGTAGTGCAGGATGTATATCATCAATGTACTCATGCAACCCAAGACTCCCCTTTTCCTCAATTCATGGGCATCGGGGTCTCCAAGTACGTTTATCCGTAAGCTAGTGTGACCCCCACGCCAAGCCATGAGCCTAAATCATGTAAAGGAACTACAGTGGGACTCAACCACTGAAGACCCCATAGCACGCTGCGCACGCTGCACGTCAATGGTCAGGGATTGCGATGCCGTGACTCCTGTGTCAAGGGTCAGTCAATACCCTCTGAACCCAAAGCCCTGAACTTTGTGTAAAGCCCTACAAAGCGCTCATGCCATCAAGTACACTGTAAACCCAAATAAAACCTAGACCCTCCACCATTTGTTATACCCCCAAATACCGTCGATTGAGGAAGGGCCATCAAGGTTTCATTAAAGGGTTACTTGGGGGACCTGGTGAATCCTGGACCCTAAGCTCTAAAAGGGAAAAAGGAGCTCACAAAAACACACTAAACCCTAAACCCCAAAACCCTAAACTGTTGGTAAACCTTAAAGTCCTGGAAGCTCCGACTTGCTTTGGCTCCTGCCACTCAGGTATGGCTTAGGCCGGGGCAGGGGAGGATGCAGCGGGTGGTTCGGATTTTGGGAAGTTTAGGGTTAGAGTGTAGGGACTTCACATGAACCATTCCATTCCAATTTCATGGAGAATGTATGGTTTTTGATGGGTCCAAGTTACAAGTTGCTTGCTGTTTCAAGAGGGGCCCCACAAAGAAGGACTCCATTGCGGTTTGCTTTCAAGGAGGCGCCAAATGAGGGTTGAAGGGTTTGGGGTTTAGGGTTGAGGCGTTACGCCGCACTCCGACCCCATCCGCGTGGCACAACGCGCGGTTCGAACGTTTAGGGTTTCCCCTACATGGAGGGTCGGGGGACTTAGTAAGTAGGTTATAAGTAGACTTATAAGTGCCTTAACAGGGATGCTAATTTGGGGTTATGGTGCTTATAAGTCTGTAAATTAACTACTTACTAAGTCCCCCGACCCTCCAAGTATACCCTACTCCTTCATCCTGAAGCCTCGGCCTATGCCCTGAAGCCTACACCCCAAAACTCTGCACCCCAGTCACAAGAGCCAAAACCCGGCTGCAGCTTCGTGCTGAAAAGCCGAAGATGATACTCTCTTATAAGTGCAAATGAATGAATGATGCTGTTAAGCGTTATCGTACGTGTTGGCAGTGCGACTGCAGTAGACAGCATGGGTCCGCAAGCTCTCAATCTTTCTGAGAGCCTAACCAGCCTCTATGGTAGACTCCCTACGATGTATGCCCACCATCAGGGCTCTATAAAAGGCTAGCAGGCAAATCGTCCGAATACAGTTATCATAATTTATACCCAGCATTCCGTTTCTAATCGTGAAGTCCCGCTTTATTACGCGCTGCGAAAGTCCAAATCTCCCAGCCTCGGCTGCCCTAATGGTCAGGCTGCGATGCTGGGGGAGGGAGCTGCGTCCAGGGCATCACACAGCGATTCCAGCATCCCCAGGCGCGAGGTACATCAACGAGAGCTTAGAGTTTAGGGTTTGGGGGTTTGGGCTTTAGGGCTTCGGTTTAGAGTTTAAGACTCGAGAATAGGTTCTGCTGATGGCGAGAATCTTGTGCCAGAGATTAGAGGTGTGGAGACAAGTACCTGCTCTGAGCCGACACCGCTTTTGGTCTAGGCGGGTTCAGGATTCTGTCTAGTCGCAACACTCTCAGTCCAACCCACACTTCCAACCCTTGCGACCCCTACAACACAAAGCTGTAGCTCAATCATTGCTCGCATGATCCTTCATGTCAACGTCATTAAAGACCAGCCTATGTAGCACATCATAACTCAACCACTTCGGACATGAATTGCCCCAACCTCGGTAAACCCTCGGGGCCCACCCCAACACGCTAAACGGCCCTAAACCCTAAACTCCAGGGGCCCAGCCCTAAACCCTAAAAGGACCTGAACCGAAACCCGATCCTAAAGCCAACTTGCAAGGTTCGAACGGTGACGGACAACCAAAGAGCTGACCTACCGGCTTCCTGTCTCGCAACTACCATTCCATAGGGTTTAGGGTTTAGGGAGTTTAGGGAGTTTAGGGAGTTTAAGGAGTTTAGGGAGTTTAGGGAGTTTAGGGAGTTTAGGGTTCATGGGGGCGGGTGCTTCAAACGATTCTCTTTCCGTATTTTGAAGCAATTGGGGATAAACGCTGTGATCTTGTTCACAGGAGTTCTTCCGGTCTTGTTTTTGTTTGGTTTGGTGCAAGGCCCCGGTCCAGCTATTGTGTTTTGGGGTTTCTTCGAAAGGTCACATGTCGTTATATGCGTGTGCAAGTGCAATCATCCCCTTTTCCAGCCCTTCCTACTATGGTACTTTGCCTGTCCACCTGCTGGCGCTAAACCCTACACCCTAGGTCAAGTAAGTTGTTGCTGGGTATGGACTCTTGGGGAGTTTCGCACACCCCAGAATCCCAGAATGCCCCACCTGCACAAATCCTGAACCTTGGAACCCTAGACGACTACTCAAAGGGTCATGGGACTTAGTAACTCGGGTATAATTCAGGTAACTATAGTTATGATTCCTTACAGGCCCAATTAAGGTACTAATAACCTTACTTACTAAGTCCCATGATCCTCCAAGTAGAGACCCTTCAGCTCGTCTACAGTATTAGGATCACTCTAATTGGTAGGATGTTGTAGAATGTCAGAAAGGGTACCTTACTTGCTTCATTCTTGGGTTCATTTCAAGCCGCTAGCTGCAACTCCTAAACCCGGAACCACCAAAAGGGCCGCAGGCTCAACATGCCTTATCCCTAAACCTAAACCAACAACCCTAAGCCCCAAACTCCTGAACCCCCAAACCCCTAAGCTTTAAATTCTCGACACACAAACCCGAACCTCAAAACCCTAAAATCCCACGCCCCTTTTGTAACTAGTAAACCCTAAACCCTGAAACCCTTATAACCCCCCAAACCCTGAAACCCTTAACTGTCAAACCCCCAAAACCTCAGCCCCCTGAACCCGAACCCATAAGCCTCATCCTTCAAGCAGCACTTGCCAAGAGCCTTCAAACAACACAGAAGACCTCCCCTAATGTAGGAACCTGACTAAGAAACCCTCGGCCTATAACCCCTAACATAGTAGGATCCATATAAGGCACCCTAATGAAGGCCCAAGGTTTCTTAATCAGGTTCCTACATTAAGCCGCCTGAGCCCTAAACCACGTGGTTCAGGAGAACGTTTATCTAACGGACGGCCAGCTCGACGACCCTTTTGCCGGGCGCGTGTCGTCTGGGAACTACACCCAAGTTGTGAGGACAAAGGCGGGCCTCGGGGTTTTCCAAACTCAGAGATCCCAATATCCCTTAATTAAGGAATATACCTTAGATGTTAGGGGCCTTCATATTATGGTTTAAGGCATATTCCTAAGATGCGGCTCATCGGGTTACATGGTTTAGGGTTCGGGTTGAGGGTGTGGGTTTTCAGGGGTTGAGGGGTTGGGCTTTGGGGTTGAGGGTTTTAGATCTGCGGTTTGGGGTTTAGGGTTTGGGGATGGGGGTTGTTCAGACACAGGGTTTTGGGATTGTGATTCCCTTACAGAATATTCTCTGCAGCAGGTAGGTTGTTGACTACAAGGCAAGCCCCCAGCCGCTTCGGCTGTTGGAGAGCAGATCGCTTATGTTCTGTGGAAAAGCAGGTCCAACGTAGGCCTTCCT